GTGTTGAAGTTAATGCTGCAGATTGTGTAAGTTTATATTTGTTAGCTGTTTTAAAATGATACATAGGGGCTGGAGCAATAGCACAGCGGGTAGGGCCTTTGCCTTGCACGCGGCTGATCTGTGTTTGATTTCCAGCATCCCATATGGTCCCACGAGCACCGCCAGGAGTAATTCCTGAGTATATGAGCCAGGAATAACCCCTGTGCATCGCCGGGTGTGACCCAAAAGAAAAAAAAAGAAAAAAATACATAAAAGGGATTTTCTGTAGATTGGTCTTTTTATCTCTGAAGTTCTTTGCCTAAACACCATTACCTTAATTTTATTTAAGTTTTTCAGTGGCATCTAGGAGAATTTGAGACTGCTTATAGTTTGCCTGTAAGCTCATGGAAATAACATTTTTAATTGATTATAAAGAACTAGGAAAACAGAGGCTCAGCAGTTAAGACAATGGAAATTTAAATGTTTACAGGTAAACCAAATGCTTGCCACTTTGTACCTATGTGAGCTTCTGCAAGTCATAAACTTACCTGACTCTGTTTGCTCTTTTGTAGTTTTTATAAAATTTCTTTATTCAAAGCACTCTTAATAGAGTGCCTGGAAGGTAGTAACTACTTAGAGATATCTCCTTGTCAATGACCCCTTCAGTTACTAAGAAAGAAAAGGGCAATAGAACATCCAAATAACAGTTATAGTTGTGACAATGAGAGCAGCACTGGCTAACTTCTTTCTCATTAAGGGTTACATTTATACCTATAGTTTTGTAAATTTATACTCATTTTCCTCCCTTAAGTGATCGTAATTGATCAAACATTTGTTTGTAGGAAGTTTTATTTGCTTACATATATTGAAAAATTCTTCATTAAAAAATGGCAACTTTAAAATTGAGGTATCACACCCCTTATACTCAAACTATATTTCATATCAACGGTAGTTAAAACAATGTGGTATTGGTGTAAAAATATGCACATGGGCCAGAGCAATAGCAGAGAGTAGGCAAGCTTGCTTGCATGTGTATAATCAGGGTTTAATACCCAGCATTCCTAGTGAGCAGAGAGCCAAGAATAAGCCTTAAGGATAGCCAGGTGTGACCCCAAACAAATAAAAAATAGGCACACAGATCAATGAAATACATAGTTCTGAAATAAAGCCACAAATATAAGGACAACATGAGCTTTCTATAAGTTGCATATTTTTAGTACAAACAGGAATTGAAGACGAAGGTTAATTGTGATTACAGAAATTAATAATAACACACACTGAGGTAGAAGTCTTTTTGTTAGTTTCTTTGGTTCTGATGTCACACCCAGAGGTTCTCAGGGCTTACTTCAGGCTCTGTGCTCCAGGATCACTCCAGGTAATCCTCAGGGGACAGTTTGTGATGGAGATTGAACCAGGGCGGGCTGTGTGCAGGGTAAGTGTGTTGCTTGTTGTGCTCCCTCTGACACAGAAAATACTTTTTTTAAAAAAGAAGTACACTTGCACACACATAGCTTACAGAATTTTTTCTTAGTTGTACACTACAAAAAGTGGGAAAAATACGCTATAGAAGCCACATGTTACAGTGTGTGAAGTGGTAAACTGAGTTGTTACAACACTGTACTTTGTGTTTCAGTATGGATGCACTGCCTTACATTATGCCTGTGAAATGAAAAACCAGAATCTTATCCCTATTCTGTTAGAAGCCCATGCAGATCCCATGATAAAGAATAAGGTAAGATGGGTGGTCTATGGTTCTTCCAGCAGCATAATCTTCCAACTTTGACATTGTACTGAGTTAAATGGACTGCCTTTGATATTGTTCATGGCAAAATTAATCATATTAATGAGGAATCAAGCTGTCTTATTTACTGTTAGAACTAAATAATACATTTTAAAATGTTTACTATTCATCTATTTGAGGGGTTGATGAACTCTTGTGTATGGGACCATGTGGTTCAGAGAATTGAATTAAGATTGGTTCCAGTACCAGAATTGAATGACATTTCAAACCCAAATATTACAGTCTAAATTTTGCAATCAGTCTAAGAAGATATTTTTTATCCTTTGCACTGCCATTAGCCTCTATTGCATATCAATAACCCTGATTCCCTTTTCTCCTCAGCGTGGTGAGAGTTCCCTGGATATTACACGAAGATTAAAATTTTCCCAGATTGAATCAATGCTAAGGAAAGCATCATAATCCTTGTGACCACAATGGACAAGTTAAAAAAAAAGATCTATGACTGGATTTTTATCTCTATCTTGAACTTCGTGTTCATGGACTGCTCAACTTGGGTGCCACAATTTAATGGGGGTGGTGATATTGACCATGGATAATGTTTCTGAAGCGCTTTGTGTTTAGAACTCTTTGCTGGAGTGAAGTTCTCCATAGTTTAATCCTAAATGAAACACTAATGCAATTGGCTTTTCCACCTCAGTCCAAGTAGAATGGCATTTCTAACCCAGTCTCTTTAGAGGGACAGTTACCTGAAATAGTATTCTTTCTTCTCTGTATGCTCCTCTAATAAAGAGGCTGTCTTGTCTATGTTCTGTCCTGGGAGACAAAACTGTTCTTCTTACATGGCTGGTATCAAAGAATCAAAGTACGACATGTATTTGTCTGGAAGAGGTGAGTGGTGGGGGAAGAGGAGGATGCTATTAGAGATCTGTACAGAAAGATTTCTTTGATGAAACAACTTCAACAAAATCAGTTTTCAGTGGTGGGAGTGTTTGCTCCACAGAATTTGGCAAATGCTACAAATTAGGGTTTTTTGTTTGTTTGTTTGTTTGTTTTTGCCTTTTGGGTCACACCCGGCAATGCACAGGGGTTACCCCTGGTTTTGCATTCAGGAATTACTCCTGGTGGTGGTCAGGGGACCATATGGGATGCTGGGAATTGAACCCGGGTTGGCCGCATGCAAGGCAAACGCCCTACTCACTGTCCTATCACTCCAGCCCCATGTTATTTGTTGTTGTTGTTGTTCTTTTCAGGGACCCAGTTTACTAGTATACCTATAAATATTTTGGTCATTTACAAATAAAAGAACTCTTTATTTTAAACAAGATTATAGAACTGCTAAGTTGTCAAAAAATTATAGTTATCTTGTGACTTCAAGGCAGCTATTGAACTTGTTAATCTTTTTGTTTTTATTGATAAAATAAAATATTATTCTAAATTATTTGTATAAAGAAGTTTTTAATAAGAGAACAAAGGCATAGAGTGATAGTACAGTGAGTAGGTTGCTTGCCTTACTCAAGTTTGATCACCAGAACTACATATGGTCCCTTGAGCCCCACCAGAATTGACCCCTGAGCATAGAACCACAGCACCTTTGAGCGTGGCTCCAAAATAAACAAAAGAGAAGAAATAGAACTAAGTGATAAGATGGTATACGGATTATACTTCTGGAGAGATTGTGACTATCACACTGAACTCTTGGTCTCAAATTCTTTGTAAATGAGACAGAGTGAAAAGAGAATTGACTATAAATAATGCACTAGGCTTCACTGTGTATTAATAAAGAAAGTCTATGAGTGATTTACCATCCTCAAATGGAAAGAAATCCTGGAATATTTATTGAATTGAGTACAGTATTTATTGAACTAGGTACATGTGGTGGTAGGGAAGTAGTCACACTCAGTTACAGATTTTGAAATCCTAAAAATCTCTTAATATGTCATTCCAGTTTTGCTTTTTCACTGAAACAAATTATTAAGTTACTTTGAAGGATGAAAAAAAACTACCCAGGTGAATATCATACATCAGTGTAGCTTCAGTTTGGTTTCAGAATTTGGACTATTGTAACTGTAACTCATTAATTGTATTATAATTCATGTAATTTGCAAGTCATGTTAAAAACTGTGGAATGCAGGAGGTTTTCTTAAAAAAATAAATCAAGGTTCATGCATGAGTTGATGTGATTGTGTAATAGTAACTTTGTCAAGATAAAGGAGTAAAGGGGGGAGCAATAGCACAGTGGGTAGAGCGTTTGCCTTGCACGTGGCCAATCCAGCGGACCAGAGTTCGATTCCTCTGCTCCTCTCAGAGAGCCCAGCAAGCTACTGAGAGTATCTCTCCTTCATGGGAAAACCTGGCAAGCTACCCGGGATGTATTCGATATGCCATACACAGTAACAACAAGTCTCACAATGGAGATGTTACTGGGCCCACTCGAGCAAATCAATGAACAACGGGAGGACAGTGCTACAGTGCTACGCTGATGACATTATAAAATTTTCTTCTTGACTTTTAATTTTTGGAGTGAAAAAACTGTGTCAGAGGTTTCTAGCCATTATGTCTCCTAACAACAGGCTGTAAAATCTTAAACAAGCTGGGACTCAAATCTAGGCATTGAAATGAACAATCATGCTTTGTGCAATGCATAATGCATATATTAGAAATCTCATACATAGCCTATAAATTCATCTTCTCTGATCCTGAGCTATAACACTTAGGCTTATTTCTAAAGGTTTTAAATATATGTTTCATCCATACTGTGCATTGATTTTATTTTTTTTGGTGTTGTTAAAGCAACTGGGCTTTCTGAGGTAGTGTTACCATGGCAACAAGTGGAAATTTTCTAGCTTATTTTGTGAAAGTCAACAACAATTCACAGAGTCACGAACTCTGTCTGTTCAAATGTATTGATTTACTTTATGGCTCAAAAAATATGACATGAAAACAAAAGGTTTTTAAGAGATTTATCTGAATAATGTAGAGACTATATGGATAATTTCTGTCAGATAAACCTATTCTTCAAGCTGACAGAGTATATGAGAGTATATGATAGTACATAAAATCTTTATATATATGTTCATCGAATATCTTAATTAACTAGAAAAAAGTCAGTCTTAGTGCCCAATATAGGAAAGTTCAAGGACATATACTATATCTTTGACCTTCATCACAGGTCTTCTACTCATATGACAAATTTTCCAATTCTAGAAGTATTTCTTAAAATTTTCCATTCTTGGACTCCAGTTCATGAACCTTTTCACGAGGTTAGTCAGTTTTCATGGCTTTAGAATAATGTGATCTTGCATGTCCCCTCAGTGAGGTTGGCCTCCTGTTTTATCAGATGTATGATTTCATTGTACATACGATGAGGAGCATCCAAACCCCAGATGAAATCCACATGAGCCCATTCAGGAATGTTCTTATGGTAGATGAGGTTGGTCACTTCAGAGAGTAGAGTTTTCACATCTTCTGGGTTGGAAAGCCAGTCCTGACCTCCCGTCCACATTGCTGTAGGAACCATCATATCACTGACTCTGTACCTAACAGGAGTTGGCTAGAGGAAAGGAATGGTTTTAACTTTAGAGGATATTTTGACTTCCTACCCGTAGTTACATTTTGAATAAATGCAGTAAAGAAGTCTCATGTTGTTATAAAAAATGTCTGGGCACTAGACCCGTATGAAATTGCATTAAGAGTTTCTGTTCCAGTTCCTTTATGAAGTTACATAAAACTATTTGAACTCATTGACTCTGTTTTTTGAACCTGTGAAATTGGAGTGCTACCTGTAATAACATACCAGATTAAGTTAGTATTGAAGTAGTTACAAAAACATGTAAATTTCCTAGTACTTTAACAATTTGTAATATCCAATTTTTCCATTAATAATTTTGAGACATATTGTCTCTGAAAGATAATGTTTCAGTCCCCTTTAAAAGATAATTTAATGAACATTTATTGAGGTCAAATTTGGAGTTATTTAACAGAGAGAGGCAAGAAAATGGAACAGAGCCAGAAGCCCTCTAGTTTCCATAGAAACTTAATGATGGTGAAAGCATCTGGTAAGGACCAGCTTGAGTGTGTCTCTGAAAAACAAAGAAAAATCGATGGCACTGAAACTCAGGTAGTTGAACCAAAAGAAAGTAAGAAATATATTCCTGCTCCAATTCCCATCACCCCAAAAAAGGGTACCTAGTATTCCTAATTCTCAAGAATGACCTTTATTTAAATACAACTACCCATCTTATCCATGAAAATAATTAATTGTGTCAGGCTTTATCTCTTAAAGTTCTGTAATTCTACTAATTCACCTCTTGATATGTAGTGTGTTTTCTCTTTGTTTCACAAGTATTTTTGGGTCTCACTTTCAGACCTTGATGTCTTGTAAAAATCAATTTATCAAATGTAGAAAAATTACAACTATCTTAATTTTGGAATACCTTCTCAAAGATGTTTTAGAAAAATGGTGATGAAAAACCAAGAAGAAGAAGGTGATACTTCTTTAGAGTTAGCTATTAGATTTTGAGTTTTCTATACAAGGTACCAAAATGTATTGATTTCTTAGTTTTTTCTGTTGATGTGCACTCTAGGGAAGATTATGTTAAGGCGGAATGGAGGAGCAGTCACAGGATGTGAGTTCCACTTCCTTCCCCAGCAGATGCTAAGTGCGATGTTGCCTCTGTCTACATGGCCTTATGTATGGTTGATATTTGTTTATATCTATAAAACAGCTAATCAATCAACTTTAGTGAAGATTTTACTCAGAATAGCATAATAGCCACTCTGATCACCATGATTTTTATTTTAAAATGTAATTCATTTTTATTTTAAAATGTAATTCATTCAATACAGACTACCCATTTTTCTTGAATAATGTATTAGACTTTCCCCCCACATTTTTACATTCAAATCAAAGATCCAGTAAAGAAAGACCTGGGGGAACTCTTAAGGATTTGTTAATTCAACCATTTTTATTTTAAGGATAAGGAAATTGAGATCTACAGTGTCAAAAATCAGGCAGTCATGATCCGACAAGCTGATTCAAGACTAACACAGTAATTCTTAACTGCCATTTAACAATTTTTTTCCTGCTACAAAATGACACAGCATTTCCGTGGTTCTCTTACCTGATTACTTTTCTCCAGGTTTTTGGTCTCACTCCCCCAGTCAAATCCTCGAAGTTCTCCAGAATTCACTGCCTGAAAGAAAGCAGAAATTGATAGGATATTCAAATGTGTCCCTGGATAATTGTGGAGGGAGGCAGGGAGGCACTGCCACACAAGCACCGGGGAAGGAAGTGGGACTCAAATTCTGCACTGCTCCCCCTTTTAGCTTTAACAAAGGTACAAAGGCCAGAATAAGGCCTTTCAGGGGAAAAGTGCATGTGCTAAGGAAATATTTGTTCACCATGTCAGACAACTCTGGGAAGTGCATCCATGTAGTAGACTGAGCATATGGGTATTTCACACAATTCTATGGTCCATAATGGGAAAGCTCTCCCATGTGGGAGATTCTGAAAATAACCAAGATCACATCATCTCTCTTTTCCTTTCCTTCCCCCCCGTCTCTCTCTCTCTCTCTCTCTCTCTCTCTCACACACACACACACACATGCTCTTCCTGCTCCCCACATCACCCCCAATGTAACAATGACCTCTGAAGAACAACTGGACTCAGTTCTTAGTTGTTAGAATATAAGTAAGATCAAGATACATGATTTAGGGATGTCATCAGACCTATTAAAATGTTCTCCTTTAATTAAGAACCTCATTCCTTTAAAAAATAGTAAGTTTAGTAGATGAGACTCTAAAGTTAGTTACACACTAGTTCTTTGTCCTTTTCTCCATCCTTCTTTCTACCCACAACTAATAAAGTTTACTGTGTACTATCGCCTGCATGAGCAGTGTTAGAGTCTGTTCTTCCTCATAGGGTAGAGGAACAGTTAGCAATCACATTGTCCTTGGAACAGTTCCGAATACTTTACCTCAGATCCACTGCACTGCCCTTAAAGTCAGCTCAGATGGTGGGTGGATTCCTGGGACTGTGAGAAAGGTTTGTAGTACAAAGAACTCCTGTGAGGAACTCCTTGGGTACTTGGGTCGTGCCCTAGCCTTTACTTTGTTACTTAACCACATTTCTGTAGAATGTGCAAAGAAGATCTCTAGCTTCACTTCCTAGGTGGCTAGAGACAAAGAAAAGTCTTACTTGCCCCATATGAATTTACATTTTAATTTTTTGGGGGGGGGTCACACCCGGCGATGCTCAGGGGTTACTCCTGGCTGTGCACTCAGGAATTACTCCTGGCGGTACTCAGGGGACAATATGGGATTCTGGGAATCGAACTCGGGTTGGCTGCATGCAAGGCAAACGCCCTACCTGCTGTGCTATCACTCCAGCCCCTGAATTTACATTTTAAAATTCTCTAAAGATATCACTGGGAAGAAAAATCCTTTTTCCATCTCCTTCAGAGTTTTAATATTTTCTGTTAAATTCATAGGTGCAATACAGGATCACATTGTATGTTGGGATAAGTGTGAAGTAACAAATACACTATCAAAGTGCATCCAGTACTATTCCAGAAAAAGTAGACAAAAATGCTTAGCAAAGATCATGAATGGGACATTCTTACCTGACTCCAGTGGAGGATATTTTGCACAGATGTGCCAGCGGGTGTATGAGCAACATAGACATTTGCTCGGCTCTGTAACAAAGCATGAGTGTTAAATCATCAAGGTTTACAAATCTTTATGGTGTTAGACCAAGTAATGGAATCACAATAAAATTAATTAATTGTTCACAAAACAGTGGCATTCATAAATTTAAAATACTGACATAGTTCCAGCTGTATTTTTCATCTGAAGAGAGCTAAGTCTTATTGTAAACCTGAACTCTTTAAAAATTTGTTTGATTAGTTAAAGACAAGAGCTCTAGATTTGGAACAGTATTCAAATCCTATCTCTGCCATCTAATCTTGAGGGGAATAATTAGGGAGAGTTGTTTAGAACAATACATATCATAATTTTTTTCTGTGAAGTGGGGATATAGGTAACAGCTGTCTCCTAGGGGCCCCAGAAATGTGGCTCAGTATTAGAGCTCTGTGTGTAAGGATAGATTCACAGTGCTGAATGCCAGTACCGGACAGCTGTTGTGGTGTCTGGGTAAATGTGACTTCTGCTGCAGGGCCACCTAGTGGGTGATCAAGGATACTGCACCAAGCACAATAACAAAAAAAAAAAAAAAAAAAGGGAGGGGTAGTGGGGGAAGGAAAGCAATAACTTGGCTTGATACAAAAGGGAATATATTAGCCTGACATACCATAAATCTTCATCAAACGGTAGTTATTGATTACATCATTAATAAGAAAGAACAAATCTTCAGGAATTGAAGATGCTTTCGTCAAGTGACTGGGGATAATCCATGGTGACGTCTTTTGGGGGGCTGTCCCAGGTTGAGATCCTGCCAGACTCGAGGCCTCTCCTGTCTCTGCTCTGGTCGGCAATAAATGATGGTTGATATGTGGGGGGAAAGCTCCAGGCCTCACAACCTAATCTGAACAGCTCTGAAGGGTCACCTCAATGTCACAAATTCTTGTGGGATCAACTGAGACTTCCATTGGAATTTTTGTAAAAAATATATCCCTTTTCCTTTCCTTTCTTTTTCTAAGTTAACACAAGAGCTTCATCCCAGATCATTCTGAATACTCACTCCTATTTGAGGGGGACTTTGGGGGAGCCTACATGGTGATACCCACCAAGTGTTAGCCATGAACATCCTGGGAGAGTGAAGCTATAAACCAAAAGAACCTACGTGGAAGGTGGTCATGAATGATGCACAGCTATTCTCTTTTGATTATTAGGCTGTAATCACCTTTTAAAAACTGTTATCTGACTGTCGCTAAGCTACTTTCAGACCTCTTCCATCTATCAGGCCTGAGAGGTAGTACAGGGATTTAGGTGCCTGCCTTGCATGCTGCTCAGTCTGGTTTGGTCCCTGGCACCACATGTGGTCCTCAGAGCACTGCCAGGGGTCACTTCTGATCACAGAGCCAAAAATAACCCCTAAGCAATGCAAAACAAGGCCCAACCTCCTTTCCCCACAAACAAAAGACTTCCATCAAAAATCTGGCACTGTTTGCATGACAAGTTTATCTCAGTCCATATTTGGTATTTTTCTGTATATTATTATGATTTGGAGAAAAGTGAATCACTGAATCACTAGGATCATATTTTTCCAGATCTTCAGTGAAACTAGCTCAGCCTCAGAGAAAGAGGAATTCCTAGGTTTGCTTTGGGAAATTGAGAATTTAACAGGTTTCCACTTACCATGTTCATGTTGTTTGCATTAAATCCTCCAAGAAGTAACATGATATTGCTACAAATCTGATCCAGAATTACCTGGCCACACAAGTAAATAACAAACTGTCTGAGAAATCTGGTCTGGTACAGAAATTCTTTTTTGCCAAACAATCCCTGTAAAAATATGAGGTAGAATTGCAATTACATTACAGTAAAAAAAAAAAAAATAAGTGGTTCTCATGTAAAAACGTGTCCTAGAAAACAGGGCTGGAAGACTCTTTTCTGTGAGTAGAGAATTATTCAAGAAAACATCTACCTTAATCATCATATCAGGCAGCAGCAAAAATTTGGTCCCAGGGCTTTTTGCATATTTAACAGTGGCTATTGGTGCTAAAGCAAAATTCATTTTGATTTTCTGAGCCAGCTCTGGCATGGTAGAAAATGCTATAAAGCCTATAAAGATAAAAAAAATTTCGATGTGAATATTGAACACTGTAGACCACATGAAATGCTTAGTTTACTTTCATCAAAACACTTCAGTATAAGTCTGTGTCTTAGCTCTTGTATGGGATGATAAACTCCTATAAGGAAAATTATCAGCAACAAAAATTTCTTTGTATTTTTTAAGATGCCTAATACATTTACTTTCCAGTGGCTGATTTTCACTGATATATTCAATTAAGTCTAACAATAGAGATTTTGAGATATAATTATTGCGAGGCATTTCTGTAGTTTGCATGCCTCATATAATTTTCTTGTCTCATATAATTCTCATGAATCTTGCCTCATTTAATGCTCAGGTGCTTATGAGGTATTTTTTAATAAATCTCTATAATGAGAGAAATTGAGGACTAGAAAAACCAACCTGTAGCAATCGGAGAGCCCGGCAAGCTACCGAGAGTATTCAATATGCCAAACACAGTAACAACAAAGTCTCCAATGGAGACATTACTGGGCCCGCTTGAGCAAATCGACGATCAACAGGAGGGCCTTTACCTTTACCTTTACCTTATGGTAGCAACTATATGCTCTGGCATTATGAGTATTGAGAGAGTAGATTTTTCTTGCTTTTCTAGACTCTAACTTTTCCGGGACCCCTATTGTAATAAGTTAATAGGCAAGTTGTCTAGTAAACAGGATTCCAGGTTATTCTTGTTGTAGACAAATGTCTGGGATACTGGTAAATCATTCTGTGATTTAGTTTCTTTAGTTTAGAGTTATTGGGCCATACTTGGTGGTGCTTGGAGGGTATTTTCATATCTGTTCTTAGGATTTCGTCCCCAGGAGTGTTTAAGAATCATATGTGGTACTAAGCATCAAACCAGGATTGGCGTTATGCAAAGAAAATGCCTTAATACCAGTACTATCCTTCTGGCCCTGTGTCTCAGTTTTTGTTTCCACAATATAGAAAAATTCACTTAATTGCCTCTCTACAAGGACAATTTCTGTGAAGATTTTGGACAAGAAAAAGGCTGATTTGTAGGGTCAGAATATAATCACACGATCATTGTATTTCAAATACCCTGTGCCTATTTCAAAAGGGTCTGAATATTCCCTCTCTCTCTGAGGAGATATTTTTTGGGGGAGCAGGTAATACCAGATCATGTGACTTATCTCTAGTCTCAAGAAGATAAGTACTAAGAGAGAGACTGATTCTTTGTCTGCATTTCCCGTTGTGGGATTAGGTTTGCAGCCTAATTCCTAAGAGTGACCTGCTATTACCTCTTCCCACTGCATCATCAGTGAAGTTGGGATGGAAATATATTAAAATCTATAACACTACTGCCCAGCTTAATATTGGGAAAAAAACTCCCACAAATATTAAGACCTGAGAACTTTAGATGATTTCTGCCAACCACTTTTCAGTGCATCAAGCAATTTCAAGTTCTCTGCATTAATAGCTTCATGGTTGACTACTATGCTCGTCCTTTCTTCAAAATAGCTATTAGCTTCAGCATACTATCTTTGTCTATGTGTCATATTGAATAATTGGAGAAAAAGGAGCATAGAGGAGTAAGAAATGCAAAGGTATTGGCTTAGAAACAGATGTGATGTCCCAGTCTCTTTCCTAGAAGTTCATGGCATAAGCTAGCATTGCCTGAATGCATCAATAGCATAGAAAGATTCAAAAGTAAAATCTAAAAAGTCGGTCTCCTTTCATTCACTATAGGGCATCAATTAAACATAAATGGAATAAACTTATGCCCTTAGTTCTCTTTTCTTTGTTTTTTTTTGGGGGGGGGGTCACATCCAGCAGTGCTTAGGAGTTACTCCTGGCTCTGCATGCAGGAATTACTTCTGGCAGTGCTTGGGGGATCATATGGGATGGGATGCTGGGGATGGAACTTGTGTTAGCTGCCTGCAAGGCAAATGCCCTACCCTTCATACAATCGTACAATCGCTCTGGCCCTTTGCCCTTAGTTCTAACAGTCATTCAAACACTAGAATCAATTCACAATTCAGTTTTGTTTTTGAAAGAATATCTTTGTCAGTCGAGATCATAATGATTTCTGGGAAAGTTCTATTTTAAAAAAAGTCTCCGAGAACATGATGGTCTACAAAATGTCAGAATTTCCCCAACAGAAATAGACAGATACAAATTAAGAGAAAATGGAGAGAATTAAAAATAAGTAGTTCATGATTTTGTTGTGTTAATCCTGCCTGGAGTCATGTTAATCCTCTGTGTTAAACAGCCTATATAACCCTCTAAATAAAATCAGTGGACCTGGGCTGCAGGAACATTCTTTTGGTCTCTGCCAGTCAGGTTTGCTCAGTCTCAAACTCCCTCCGTAGACAAGACTGGCATTTGGGAGGCCTGTGATTTGGTCTCTGAGAATTTTCTATCATATTTATACAAACGTTGAACTGACTCCTCCATTGGTTGCTTTTTTCTTTTTTCAAAATTCCTCAGAGCGAGTATTTCACTATCCCTCTCTTTAAAAACAGATCCTAAACCTGAGAAATTTCAGAAGAAGTAAATGGCCACTCTACTCAGCTGTTTCCAAAATGGACAATTCTGCTACCCTCACCCCACCCCTCAAGGCATCATAGTTGGGAGACAGTTGTAGCTTAGGGTGCAGTTGGGCCACTTTGTTTAAGGAAGGTAGATTTTGGTTGGCAATAGTAATTTTTTCTTTTGGAAAAGTGGGTAGACTGAATATGTTTGGGAACGTCTATAAGGAGAAAAATAGCTAACAAAAAGTTAATTTGTGGTTTGCTGATATTTGATAATCATAATGAATTTTTGCAGAATTGAGTCAAAGTCAAATATAGAATTGGGGCTAATTACTGATTCAGTATTGGTACCAAAGTGACTGGGTAACCTGCTGAGGTATCAGAAACCCACTGGATTATATTGCTGAATGAAGGGAACAACAGAAATGAGTGAAATAAATTCTAACTTAGATATTCTCACTATTGACCTAAATTTACAGTGCTTTAAATATGGCAATGCACTTCATATAATACCTATTCCTATGAAATAACAACGTAGTAGTTCCCAAAATTGAAACTGGAGTGACAATACAGTGGGTAGGGTTCTTTCTATGCTAAAGGACAATCCTGGCTCTATGCTGGGCACCACAAATAATCTCCTGATGCTGCCAGGAGTGATCCCTGAGTGCAGAGCCAGGAGTAAGCCTGAGTACCACTGAGTATGGCCCAAAAAGCAAAATCTAAAACAAAACAAAAAAAATTCCCTAAACTGTGGAAATGAAGATAAAAATATTGAGGAAGTAAAGAAATCCATGAGTTTAATTGTCAAAAATAAGAACCTAACTATACCTTGCTTATGCAGTATGTGCTTTGAGTTCATGAGTCCTGGCTTTGCTATTCACTCACTAGGCAAGAAACTGTGAGTAAGATGTTTTGAAAAATTGCAATTTCTCTAGCTGTCAAACAGAGATGCAATTTTTGTTCAGGTGTGAAGCAAAATAATATATACATATACATATACATATACATATAATGGTAGCAGTCACTGTCACTGTCACTGTCCTCCCATTGTTCATCAATTTGTGCTAACAGACCCAGTAATGTCTCCATTGTGACACTTGTTACTGTTTTTGGCATATCGAATACATCATGGTAGAAGTGCATAAAAGAAAGTTATTATGATAGTAAAAACTGTGATGATATAAAGATGTTAAGACACAGATAAGAGAGAAGGGGAAAAAGTCAAATTGTTCATAAGACTTTAAATTCCCATAATACCAAGAATAAGTCTTGTCTCTATCTCTAACTATTTGTTTCAGTAAGTGAGCACCCACCTGGCATCTTAGAATGTCACCTTCTTCCTCTGGCCTTGAACTTTGGGTTTGACTCTGAGTGAAAGTCAAGCACCTGTAGAGATCCTTCTACTGTGATACACCTCACATCTTTCCTGTCTTTCCTTTGATCTTATCTAAGCTTAGCACACTTTTATGACTAGTTTTGATATGATCTAGGGCTGGTAATCACAGTCTCCACTTCCATCTCCCTATGTATGTGTCCTACATGGGCCAGAAGTTAAGGTTTCTCATACCCTCACTGAAAGTAAAGACACCAGCAAATCTTTGAAACCACTGGCATTTGAAGGAAAAGAAAACTTTACAGAAATGCCCCCATTTGTTCTGCAACCAATATGGTGGCTTTTATTGTCTGCCAATCTTTGACTCTAGAGCTTCATGTGTTCCTTGCACTATCTGAATGCTTACGACATGCTTGGAGCTGCTCCTAAAACTCTACAGAGAACAAAGAAAAAATGGGGTGATTCCATACCCATTATCATATTAAATGGTCCAAATACCTCTTATCAGTTTCATTTTTATAAAGAAATGGAGACACGAGAGGTTACATGATGTTCTCAAGGACATTTACCTAAGACATGGTCCATCCATATTTGAATTCACATCTGTCTGACTCAAAAATCTTTCCTCTCTCTACCAGATCACAGGCCTTCCTCAATTTTGTCTCTGATTCCTTAGAGAATAAGGTAAAATTAAAAGATGAAGAAAATTTGAAAGAAATGCAGTATGATTGATCCCAGGAAGAGCTGTGCAGCGCACACTCTTATTTCTTCTGAACATACAAACCTGCTTTCCTTTGAACCTACCCATGGTGGTGCCCTGTGAATAGCCGATATAATAGATCTTTTCCTGGCCCGTTTTCTGCAAAATAAAGTTTATGACTGCAGGAAGGTCAAACCTAGACATCTCATCATAACTACAAAGGGAAAAGACAAAGTCATATGAAAAATTATAGTCAGAAACAAATAATAGGAGCCCCTTTGTTTTACAAATAGCCCCCCCCCCATCATTGACCCCAACAGCTTGTTACTCTGCCTTTCAATACACACAGATGAATGAACCTGTATGTGAGTGCCTCAGGCCAATTGCTGATTTCCACAGTTGCCACCTAGTGATTGTCCTGTTTAAGATTCACTGAGCACAGACCCATTCCATTGGAGACCTCCTGGGACTTGCAGACTCATTTATATGGAAAACAGAAGAGACGCTGCAGGGCCCTTCTCTGCTGGAATGTTTGAAGAGCAGGTTGGGTGTCAATAGTTCAATTGAACAAAAACATTGAAAACCTTTCGTCATAGTATAAGAGATGTGTTAGTCTCACTGTTATCCCTAAGTGTTAATGGTTTCCCTTCTGTGTTGCTTATCTCCAAGGTGCACTCATTCCTATAATCACTCATGGAAGAGTTAGTGCCTGGATACCCATACATGGGACTCATTTCTCTCATTTCCTTTCTTTCCTTTTTGCTTTGGGACCACAATCAGTGATACTCAGGGGTTACATCTGTCTCTGCACTCAGAATCACTTCTGGTGGTGCATGGCAAGCCAGAAGGAAATGAACCCTGTTCAGCAGGGTGCAAGGTAAGCACCCTCCCCACTGCATTATCTCTCGTTCCACTTAATCACATAATCAGAACCATTCTTCTCATGCCTATTAGCCAGATTTGCTACCCAGAGAATCCAGTCTTCCTGACTACTTCCCCCAAATAATCACTAATTACTTATAGCAATTGGGTTATTATAACCCAACCAAAGTAAAGTACCCAAATCCTAGATGCAGAATTTACCAGATCTCCCAAAGACTCTAGGAATATCTCCACTCTCCAGATTTTCATATACCTGAAAGCCCAGAACTCATCTTGTTCTACAGAGAGACTCTTGTGCTTCCGAGACCAAGTGTTTCCACGGCTGTTCCCCATCCACACGTCAAAACCAGCATCTGCCAGAATGAAGCCCAGGCTGTTGTTGGGCAAGTTGGAAATCCAGTTGCTTGCGTCACCAAGCAGGCCATGCTGCAGTAACACCACAGGCCTGGGACCTACGAGAAGAGAATTCCATTGTGTTAGTTCACTTATTTTACGATCCTGATTAATCTACCTGCTTGGTTATTATAGTCAATTATCCAAATTTTTCATATCTTGATTTTCTCAAGAGGAAAGTAGAAACTTTGTTATAATTAAATAAAACAGGGCTTCTGAAGTAGATTGCCTAATGTCTGACGTAGTGAATCAATAAATCTCAATGTCCATCATAATTTATCTGTGGTTGCTATTATTAGACTAGTCTAGATATCTCATATACTACTAGAAATACACTGAATGTTAGGTACTTTCATGAATTATGAAGATAATCACATATAATAATCAAGTTATTATATAATGATATGTGCTTATGTTTTCTTGAAGCATCAATATATTGTTTAAGTATGATTTATATGGTTAATAACATGGCAGTGTTCAGGGACCACTCCCGCTTTGTGTTTGCCCCAGTGGTGCTCTAGGGACCATGTGTTGCCAGGGATTGAAGTGGGGTTTGCACTTGAAGACAAGCACCTTAACCCTCTTGTATCACTCTGACCTGGAAAGCAAATGACTTTTGATTTGTTTCCCAGTGCATGAAAAAATCATCTTTACCCATACTGTGGAGCTTATGATAAAGTATTTAGGTTCTTTCCCACACAGTCACAGTCAGAACTTTGGCTCTCAGCCTGATGGCACATTTGGGGACCCAGGATGGGAATATGTCCTTGTGAATAGGTGATGCACCACATATGTTTTTATGGACCCAGTGGGGCAAAAAACAATGAGCCCTCAGCATAGGAGAAACCAAGGGTTCTTGCGACTTGAGGGTAAGATCTTGGGAACTTGTTTGTATTAGTGCCTAACTTAAAGATTTTTGAAAGGTCTTGGCTTTGTTCCCTTCTCACGAGAGTTCTCTCTAAGCCTGTAGGAAGGGCCTGAGTGAACAAAGTAGCCTAGTTCACTTAGCTAAGGAGTGTTGTCATGTTGCCTTTGGCTTCTGAAATGAGCTCAGAGTGCCCAAGGAGGATGGAGGAAGTTGCTGCTGTCCCCACCCGGGAGATTGAGAAAGAGCAAAGCAGGAGCACTGCAGCTCTGAGCAACTAGAGAGATGGGACAGAGACTGACAATAGCAGGTATAATGCAAGAGCACAAGGAGTGGAGCAGCAGAGCTGCAACTAGGAGACAGAAATACCAACTTGCCAAGACCGTTGCTACCGAAGAGAGGTTTCTAGGAGCAGCTGCTCACTGTGGCAAACTAAGTGAGACTGGGAAGATTGTTGCTGTTAAATAAGGATACTGCTGTCCAGGGCTTCTGAGAGCCTTCAGGAAGCCCTAAGAGCCATAGGTTGCCCCCTGTAGGATAATGTTGGTTTGTCCTTTCTGCCTTGCCACAAGGAGTTTAGGTTTATTGGGTTACTCCTGTCACAGTGCTCCCATTCCTCCGTGTTTATTTGTAATCTCTTTCTTTGTGTTCTGCTTTCCCAACCAGAGAATCACCTCTATCTCCTAATCAGACTCTGTTAACTTGTAAATATTGCTTTTCTCTTCTCCTTAAGTCCTTTGCATAGTTAATTCAGAGCAATGTCCTTTTTGTATAGACACAGGAAGACAGTTAATGCTATGCTTTTGTAACTTGGGAGTTAATTGACTCCAAATAATATTCACCCCTGGGTATTTGTTCTCTCAAGTTAAGCCTCAGTTGCCTTTATTTACTAGCACCTTAAAAACAAGGTCCCAACAAGGGACTGGATGGACCCAGAGCAAGCTGTGACCTACCCTGGCATCAAAATGGGCTTGACCAAATAGCCATAATACTTAACTATAACTTAAGAGCATGGTCATGGACAAATTCTGTCATGATCCAAAAAGTAACATCTAGATTAAGACACTGCTATGGTTAGGAAAGATTAATATGGCCTGAGCACTGTAGTCTGAGATCTGTAGTGAGATGTCCTACAAGCTTAATATATCTCTTACTGTGTCCATACAAAATAATTAATATTAAGAAGTAGAATTAAGATGTTAATTAAGATGTTAATTAAATTACTGGACTAAAGAGAGGAGAAATCACCCAAGTGGTATTTTGCCCTTGAACCTGATCAGGAAAGGCTTTTGATATGTTGATTGTGATACAGGTCAGGGTGTGGCATCTGCCACCAATGCAGGGAGTTGGAGAGAGACTAGAGAGAGACGAGGCTGCAAGATGGAGCGTGGACAGATGAGTGGGTGAGAAAGAAGAAGACGGGAATGAGGGGCAGTGTGAGACTAGAATGGGGAGTTTAGTGAGACTGGAACAGGCATGTAGGGAGAATGGGATAAACGACAATTGATCACCAAATAGCCTGTCCCTCGTTTCCTCCTTTGTCCGCCCATGGAATTGGCTGTCCTGGGTAGGGAAGAGGCCCGAGTCCACCAAACGCAGGAGAGAGAGAGCCCCTGGGGGGGGATGTCCCTAGTTGTCTGGTGATTACATAGCCCCCCTTAGTTGTGGTAGAGCAGAAAGAGTCCAAAGACTGCTAGAGAGCAAAGGAACAGCTATCAAGGAGAATGTCCAGTTTCTCCCTCAGTGCTGGTCATCTCTTTTGGCTCTTTTGACTTCTGGACTCACACTTCACAGAGGGACCCCAGTTTCTTCACAAGGAATAAAGAGAGGACAAACTCCACAAACCCATTTCCAGCCCTCCACAGGTCTGGAGACCTTCATAAACTATAGGCTAATTAGTGTACAATAGCTTTTCGCCTAAAAAAATCTATGAACATACCTTTATTTTAAAATTTCTTATTGCTAAAATGTACCATACTCTGAACTATTGGACAAATGACACCAACAGATTTGCTTGGCTTAGGCTTGCCATGAAAGTTTAATTTGCAAAAAGGACAGTATCTGTGAAGGTATGTTAAGGCAAAGCACAATTATAACAGCAGGCAAATAAGTTCTTCCTTAACTTCATGGTTTGATTTTGGGAAATTGTCATTGGAAATGAGTAAAATGTAGGCCAAGATGCTTTTATTTTTCATCAAATTTATAACACAATGACATTATTTGCTGTTAGAGAATTTGTTGTTTGCCTGTAGTTATGAAAAAACAAGGCCAGAAGTACCAAATTGTGTTGCTTATGCTAGGCCCCATGATGCTAAATCAAAACAGTTTAATTACAGTTTTGTTTCTCACAGAGATGGAATCCTCAACAGTTAATCAGAAATCACCTGGTCTGCACTAGTTAGATCATCTTCCCGATAAAATTCATCATTCCCTAAAGCAGGGTTGGAGAAAGACCACCCATGGGCCATATGGGGCCCAGGAAATCATGCATTCTGGCCCTGGTACAGACAGGATAGACACATGCTTCTCATCAGCTGTCTACAACTGTCTGCCTTTGTTATATCCCCCATAAATGAGGTTATAAATACCCAAATAGTTCTTGACAGAAAAACGTTTCTCCACTTCTGCAAAACCAATGTTATCATGTCATATTCTATCTGTGTTTTTGTCTAGTCTGACTTCCATTTTTTCAATGGTGTAAAAGCCTTCATACTCCATAGCTCCTCCAAGGTCCTTTTTCTTGTATCAAATGCTGAGCAGTGGATGAATGGTTCAATAAGCTTAACAATATCTTTCAAATTTATTCAGCTGGTTTGAGGGGGAGAAGACTGGGCCGCACTGGGCAGGTCTTGAGGCTACTGGTAGCAGTAATTGGACATGGGATTCCCACATGCATGTCCTAGCTTTTTGTAATATCTTCCTCGTTCCTTAGTTAATTGTCATTTATATAGGTATTGCTAAAATACTGAACTTAATCAATTTTTTGTTTGGGCCATACCCAACAGCTATTTGTGGCTAGGGCTAGGGGATCACTCCTGGCAATACTCTGGGAACCACTAGGTACCAGGGATCAAACTCTGACCTCCCACATGCAAAGCTTGTACTCCAACTCAAACCTGCAACTTCAGAAGAAAAAATAAAAGCATGTTTTAGCTATGACTTGTAAAAATTAAAGAGATAGATCATGAAGGTAGTATTCACCCATTAGAGACTGGTTTACAAAACAGCTTTATTGTTACTATTGCTGAGATTGGCATAACTTTCTAAGGCAGTGGTTCCCTGAATTTCAGACTTCCTACTTTGAAACAAAGATTCAATTGCCCACCCCACCAGGTTTTGAGGGTAAATTAGAGATTTCATGCATTAAGCCCTCAGCATGCTGCCTAAGCGCTTATAAAATAGCAGTCTGCTGATTTTCAGTCTGAGTTCATATGCGGTTGACCTAGAGAACCAAAAGCTTTTATCTGGAAACCTTTTCAGTCTCCAGACAGATAAATTTCATTTGCCTCATTTTAAATCTCTGGGGAGGGAACATTGAAATTGTTATGTGGGACCAAGAGAAACAATTTGAGTTATTTTATATTTTTCTTTAAGTTATCCTTGAGCTTGTCCTCATAGCCCTCAAGAAGGCAACTTCATTTATGTCAGGGATGATCATAGCAAAGGGGATCAATGCTCTTTTCTGCAAATCCTCGGACGTTTGGTAGGAACCAACTTGACTCTTACCAATAAGGATTGTACTTATGATTTGCCTATTAAAAACCAAACTGACAGGGTCGGAGAGATAGTACAAGAGTTAAGGCACTTGCCTTGCATGTTGGCATGGTGGCTGTGACCCTGGTTCAATTTACTGGTGCCACATACAGTCCCTTGAGTACCAACACAGGTCACCTATCTTCAAACTGACTTATAAGTGACATATAATTTCAAATAGCCCCCTACAGAGACATGGATTATGATTTATTATAGGCAAGTGAGTGTGTAAGGGTTATAGTTTTAGAAGCTTCCATTTATGAACACTATTTTTTCTCTCTTGATTTCATATTTGAAGTCAACAATGATTATCTAATTAAGAAGGACAAAAAATTTCATCACAAACTTACATATATTTCACAGTCACAGTCACAGTCCTCCCGTTGTTCATCGATTTGCTCGAGCGGGCCCAGTAACGTCTCCATCGTGAGAATTGATGTTACTGTGTTTGGCATATCAAATACGTCACGGGGAGCTTGCCAGGCTTTGCTGTGCGGGCTCGATACTTTCGGTAGCTTGCCGGGCTCTCAGTCAGAGAGGGGCGGAGGAATCGAACTCGGGTCGGACATGTTGGCTGCGTGCAAGGCAAATGCCCTACCGCTGTGCTATTGCTCCAGCCCCACATATATTTCACTGTCAATTATTTTGCTATATATTTTATTGACATTTTTTCTGAAGAGATGGTAAGAAATATTTTTTCATCACTTCAAGGCTGAGAAGTTTCGTTCTTGGAGGCTAATGAATACTCTAGGAACCAGTCTCAGCTACTAGAAGGAATATCACTGTATCACTGTCATCCTGTTGTTCATTAATTTCCTTGAGTCTTAGCCCTGAGATTTTAGAAAGTGCCACACTCGAGGCTCTTTCAGGGTCAGGGAAATGAGACTAGAAGGGGTAGTCTATGACTAATACCTAGACCCCCAAACGCTTGAGCAATGAGTGAAGCACAGTTCAAGAAAACATAAATTTCACCCATGATGAGGGACTGGTGATCCCTGAGTTAGTATCTGCCCCAGTTCCCACTGACTTTCTTACATCCCAGGAATTTTCTGGATTTAATGATAGTTTTCGCGGCCATGCAACATCTTATTGTCTTATTTTTCCTTTGGAGAACATGGCAGGCTACCAAAAGTATCCTGCCTGCACGCAGAGTCTGGCAAACTTCCTGTGTCGTATTCCATATGCCAAATACCAGTAACAATGATGGGTCTCATTCTCCTAATCCTGAAAGAGCATTGAAATGGCTCTTTTAAAATCTCAGGGCTAGGAAGAAGGAGACGTTACTGGTGTCTGCTCAAGGAAATCGACAGACAACAGGATGATCGTGATCGTGATCATGAATGATAGCTTTGTGTTCTCCTGGCCATTAATTTACTTAAATAAAATGCACTTTTTTCGTATGTTTTATGATTCCTGCAAGCATTTTGCACTCTTTTAGGCATCTGATATAGTTTTTAAAAAGTATAATCCCTATTTTCATTGTGTTTTTTGTCTAAGAGGAAACAAAATAAAGCAATGATCTATCATATATTTGGGTTTGTGCACTATAAGGAAAATTAAGCAAGGATGAAGTATTAGACATAAACAAGGGTCAAGAGGCTGCTACTTTGAACAGCACAGTTGGAGGAAAACTAAAATAAAATAGGGCTGAAAGGACTATAATAATTTTATATTTCTGATGAATTCAAAAGCACCAAGGCAATGCATTCTGGTGCTAAAAAAATTGGTTCAAAAACATGCACAGATGCAAACTGGGGAAAACAGACCTGGACACTTTACACCAACACTGAGAAGCGTTCTCTCAGCATTTCCTGGTCCTAGTTAAGCACCTAGGCTAGAGTGGCAGATGGATCTTGTTTTGAATTCAGGTATTACGATGGTCTACAAGATATAACATAGATTTTCTGGAAAAATCACTTAACCTCTGCCAGTGAGAAGTTGTTTCTTGGGGTTATTATGAAAGTCAAATAAGATGAAAGTTACAAAGAAAAAAAGCATTTAGTATTGTTCCTGGCTTTGAAAAAATACTATATGAAATCTTATTATATGTACTCATGACAGATAATGTAGTTGCTGCTTAAACACAGAGCTATCATACCTAATTCTTCAGCTGCACCTGGCCATCTTGGTTATGCTCAGAAACCTCATAGCCGACTTCTGGAAATTCTAGGTCAGCGTTAAGACCTAATAGTTCTATGCTCCTGTTTGCACTTTGGTGCTCAGCCTGGCAGTGCTGGAGGACACTGATGCCTGTACAGGGGCCATGTGATACCAGAATCAAAATGGAGACCTTGCATATGTCAGTCATGTGCTACACCTCTTTGAGTCATTTCCCAGGTCCCAATAGTACCCGGTAAAGATCTCACTAAAAATCTGGGAAAGATCTTAATATTTAAAAGTACTGTTTAGATGGAAACATAGAGTATGTGGAGTGAGCACGGGGCTATAGTGAAATCTGCATTCTTCATGCAAGGGGTTAGAGTGGTCTTCTCAAGAGATCATCACCGTGGGGCCAGAGATCTGTTATAGCAGGTAAGGTGTTTGTCTTGCACACACTGATCCTGGCACTTAATAGGTCTCCTGAGCCACTAGGAATGATGCCTGCTCACTTTGCCAGGAGTAAGCCCTGAATAGAGCTGGATGTGACCCCAAAAGAAAAAGACCAACAAAAATGAGCTCATCATCAGTAGTCACTGTCACTGTCACTGTCTTCCCATTGTTTATCTAATCAAACTCAGGTCAGCCTTGCCGGCTGTATCCAAGGCAAACGCCCTACCTGCTGTGCATAGCACGGCTGACCTGTGTTTGATTCCTCCGCCCCTCTCGGAGAGCCCGGCAAGCTACCGAAAATATCTCGCACGCACTGCAGAGCCTGGCAAGCTACCTGTGACGTATATTCGATATGCCAAACACAGTAACAAGTCTCACAATGTTACTGGGCCCGCTGGAGAAATAGCAGGACTCTGAAAATCATCAGTAGACATACTAAAAAATAAAGGATTTCAGTAGGTGAATGCTAAAAGGCCCAAAATACAGACATTTCTTGAATGACTTTTTGAAAAGGTAAACACTGTACATTTATTTTACACAATCGTAGATGGGTGAAAGTGGTGATGGATGGAAACTGAAACCTTCTTTTGGTTTGAGAAACTGCACCTAGTCTGCTCCAAGAATATACATTGCCCTCTACACAGTCAAATCACAAGAAGTCATTACTGTAAGGGAGATTGAAGACTTGGGGTCATATATGCTGAGTCATACCTGTCGTATTAAGATGTGTTAAGCCTTGAGGAATTCTGTTCACAGAAAGGATATAACCATCTTCTGTTGCAACTTCATATTCTTCACAGAGATAACCTTTATGTCTTATGATTTCACTCTATGGAAAAAGCATATTCTCCTTTGAGTTTAATTCTATATGGTTATATAGAACTCAATGACACAAAACAAAAAAAAGGAGAAGTCTGAATGCTGCAACGAGCAAGTTCCTGGCACTACAGTGAAGCTCAAAGGACTGGAGCATGTACTTTGCTTCCGGGAGCACTGCTGACTCTGTGTCCACAGCAAAAAGGAAAGAAAGAAAGAAAGAAAGAAAAATTGGAAAGAAATAAATTCCTTACTTTTCCCTAGCTTATGCTATCTTATAAAAATAAAAATTAACCAACTCTATATAACTTCTGTTTTATTAGTTTTTAACATGGAGGCCAGACCAGAACGATTAGGATCATGATTCACAGTATGGGTCCTGGATCCAAAGCATCAGCAGCATGGGCACTAATTAGAAATACTAATCATCAATTTATATTTAAATATATTTACATCCAGGGATTTTAAGATGGGGCCCAGAAATTGTGCTTTGTCAGACTAGGCCTTTTAGGAAATCCTAACACACTCTGTTGGGAATCAGTGCACCAGTTCTCTAATTCCAAAAGCTGATAGTGTATCAGAATTACTTGATATACTTGAATACACAAATTGATGTACTTACTTCTGATTAGGAATCAGAAAATTCTAGTCATGGGCAATGAGATACCTTTTCCCAGAGAGCTCAGGAGAATTATTGAACTCTGTATTTTCTAGAGATATTTCCCATTCCAAAACTATAGATTCAGGAACAATAGTTCCTTACATTTTTAGATCAAGGCTCTTTCTGTGAATCTGATAACTGTAAAGATAATTTACAGGGAAGCACAGCTTTAGAAATTTAGAAACTTAGATATGAAATTTCTAAGTTAAGAAATCCTTTTATGATAAGTCATGAAATTTACATACAAGTGGTACTACATGAAAAGTATCATGCTAAGTGAAATGAGTCAGAAAGAGAAGAATAGACATAGAAAGATTGCATTCATCTGGGTAACATAAAGTAACAATATAGGAGACTAACACCCAAGAATAGCTGAGATAAGTACCAGGCGGATTACTCCATGGCTTTGAGGAAAACCGCACATGCTAGGGGAAAAGGCAGCTCAGACAGAGAAGGGAGCACTAAATAAAGGGTGTTGGGAGGTTCCTCTCAGGATGGGAAATGCATGATGAGAGTAGACTATAGTCCGAACAAGATTGCCACTCAATATCTCTTTTGCAAACCACAGCACTCTAAAGGAGAGAGATAACAAAAGGGAATGCCCTGTCACAGTGGTAGAGTGGGATGGGGGATGGGGGGAAGAGGGTGGGAGGGATACTGGGACAGGTGGTGGTGGAGAATGGGCACTGATGGAGGGATGGGTATTCGATCATTGTATAACTGAAACCCAAGCACAAAAATTTGTAAGTCTACAACTGTACCTCATGGTGTTTCACTAATAAAAATTTAAGGAAAAAAAAAAAGAAACCCTTTTCTGTATAGCTACACATAAAAATTCTGTAAAATATGAAGCTGTAGATATTCTTAAGGATCTCCACGATTCTTATCCACTGTCATTACCCAGAGAAAGATGAAAAAAATTATCTTAATCATTGCTTTAAAAGAAACAAAAGAGAATGTATGAGGTAAAATAGCATGATAATTAAGAGAGAGGCCAAGGAATAGCCTCACAGTTTGAGTTTTAATACTGGTTCTAATGTTAATACGGGAACAAGCCATATGATAATAAGAAATTTAATTAACCAGTCCTTATTCTTCAGTTTATTACTCTTCTGTTCGGTTTATCAGTGACTCATATTTCATCAAATTATTGCAAAGAACACAAAAATGCATTAATGTTAACGATATATTGCCTTGTACATTTAAGTACTCTATGAATACTACTTTTTATATTTAAAAATCAGTACTTCATGATACGAACTTCTTTTTACATTTTAAAATTGGTCAAATAAGTATTATTGAAATTTTTGAGTTTATATCTCAGAAGTGTGTGTTCAGTTCTAAAAAATTAGAGATTAGTGCTCTGCAAACTTCAGAATTCATTAGAAATTACTGAGAAAATTTATTAAAAGCAAATCACTAGACATAGAATTTCTGGTTTAGTTTTGCTGAGGTATTAGTCAAAGTATTGACATTTCAAATAGTGTGCTAGGTGATAATGATGTTACTAATTTGGGAACTTTAAAGAACCACAATTGCAGACAATTTGTGGGAGATGAGTATGAAGCACAAGAAATAAAGACAGCTGAGAAGTGTTTAATAAAATTACATACTAAGAAATAGGCCCAACAAGGAAAGAAGAACGTGAGCAAATCAAGCAATAAAGGGGTTCTGAGCAGAGGGAGTACCATAAACAGCACTGGGCAAATTAGGTCTCCTAATTTGGAAGAAGAATTCGAACAGGGTCTCCGGACTTGAATAGGAGATACTGAAAGAACTAAGGAAAGGCAGCTGGGATGGAGAAGGGACCACTAAGTAAATGATGGTTGAAGGGATTGCTTGTGATGGTAGATGCGTGCTGAAAGTAGACTGTGAACCAACCATCATGGGCGTTAGTACCTGTATTGCAAACCATAACACCCCAAAGGAGAGAGAGAGTAAAAAGGAATGCACTTCCCAGAGAGGTGGGGTCTGGGGTGGGGGCTAGGGGGGTTGGGAGAATGGGGTGGGGGTGGTGGGAGAGATACTGGGAAGCTTGGTGGTGGAGAATGGGCACTGGTAGAGGGATGAGTATTCAAACATTGTTCGACTGAAAGGCAATTATGAAAGTTTGTAAGTCTGTTAACTCTATCTCACGGTGATTCATTAAAATAAAAAAAGAAGGGATAGGGACATAGACAACCCAGAAGAAAAAGGCCAAAATATAGTGAGTGACAATGCCTCTTTTGCAAACCACAGCACCCAAAAGGAGAGGGAGAACAAAAGGGAATGCCCTGCCACAGGGGTGGGGTGGGATGAGGGCGGGGGTGGAGGGTGGGAGGAATGCTGGGAGCATTGGAGGTAGGGAATGGGTACTGGTGGAGGGATGGGCACTCAATCATGTATAACTGAAGCCCAAGCACAAAAATTTGTAAGTCTACAACTGTACCTCATGGTGTTTCACTAATAAAAATTTTTTAAAAAGTGAGTGAGCACTGTATACAAGGAACAGATAATTAATACACTACCTATGAGGGTTTTTTAGGATAATAGTAGGACAAAAATTTACAAACATAAGAACACATATTCTTTTTTTTTCCCTTTATTTTATTTTATTTTTTTTAAAGTTGTAGATTTACAATTTTTTGTGCTTTGGTTTCAATTATACAATGATCAGATACCCATCCCTCCACCAGTGCCCATTTTCCACCACCATGGATAATATCCCTCCCACCCCCATCCCCCCATCCCCCCTGTCTCTGTGGCAGGGCAATCCCCTGAGAACACATATTCTAAGATATGATCATGTGGGACTTGATCCAAGAAATGTGGGACATGATGCGAGAAATGTGGGGCATGACTGGGGACATGATCAGAGAAATGAGTTCAATAATTTTTTCATTGTGTAAATTTTATAAAGTGAAAATTCCACTAATATAGACCTAGGCAATATGGTACAGCCTATAGGGGGCATATTGTATGAATGGATCATCTTTCTGGTATGTCATTAAGTGATGCATGACTGCACTTTCACAAGGATAAGGCACTTCTCATCAAGGTGCCAACCTTTATTGGGTAGCTTATCAAAGTATCTGCATATGTATTTTTAAATTATTCATTTTTATCTTTTAATCCCACTATGTGTTCCATCAATGTGAACCCCAATATCTCAAGTATCTCCTCTTCATCTTTCAGATTTCAGTTTAAGGAATTATCAGTTAGGTCCTTCTTTCCTTCTTATATAACCACTTTTGTAATGAATGACTGTTCAACTTTCCTGCAATGATGTCAGGACTCTTGATTCCCAAATGCATAGCAGAGTATCAGAGGCCCATCAGGTATTCAAGTAATGTGCGTTATAAAAACAAATGAATGGAAGATGCAGATGAATTATAATCTATATTAATCAGTATACTTCAAATATTCAGACTCTGGACCACTTTAATTATAATGCTATTTAACTGATACAAGAAATTTCCTATTTTACTTTGCTTCTCCATCTGAAACTGCTCAATGGCAGAATCCAATTCAATTGATTTTTAGTCTTAGAAAACTGAACTCCAAATAATTCTTAAGTGATAGTTACATTCCATATGTCTGGGCAGGAAGATTGGGTCTCTATACAGATAAAGGATTTCCTTGGCCTCACACCTTAGAAGACTTTGTGTGGGACATTATTGGGGTGAGAAGTTGTCTTCTAAGGTAACTACATCAGTGTCCTGACATAGTGTCTGGACAATCCATAAAAAGCAATCATTGGAATGATCAGAAGAACATAGATACTTCCCATCATGTAGATTCAGAATATTTATTTGGCTACTCAGAGTTTTAGATTCACTAAAGGATGCTTCTATATAAAGAGTGTTTAACTGCATAAAGCCGCATTAAATTTATGATAAATGTATGGAGAATGAACATTACACACAACCATCCTGTTCATCTGGAAGAAGCCTCTCCTTACCTGGGAGGTGTTATTGCTTAGTGATTATAATTATGAGTTTGTGTTCAGGCAGGCCTAGGCCTAATTGTGGTTCTATCATTTGCCAGTGATGTGGCCCAATTTGGATTGCTTAAATCTCTTTAATCTGAGTTCCTTGATTTGAAAATCGGGTATGAGCATATCAACAGCATACAATAATGAATATGAAGTAAAACTGCATCTTTGCAGTTGTCATCACAATATCTAATATGGATGGTAGCCATGAATTTGAAAATAGTCAGAAAACTATCTACAATAAGTAAAAAATTGTCACATTGGTGCATATTTCTTATAAGAATTCTTTTCTAACATTCACTGGGGGCTCTTTTATTGTCAGTCAAGAGAGTTACAAATCCAGAACAGAATACAAAAAATAGAATGGATAACAGTGTTCTAAAAGTGATAAAAAGGAAGGGCTAACACGTTTTCCTATATGAGAAAAGAAAAATTAAAAGCACAGATGAAATAGAATGAGCATAGGCTTGCCCAAACGATTGAGTAATGAATCTTTGCACATTGAATATGAGTGATAAAATGCTAAATAATGTTGGTTTTTGCTATTTGCTTGAGCAAATAACAATTTGCTCAAGATTGCTTAACTTAAGAAGACCCTAACCTGTGATTAGGTTCTACCTACAATTGTCAAATATAATACATAATGTAGACAATACCCAGATGCAAATATTAATATACAAGAAATGTAATTTCCCACCAAAACATTATGGAAAATCCCAACTTACAACATTCATGAAGGCTTCTGGATCCACATCTTTAGTTGGCATATGTCCTGAATTCACATTTCTTTGGAACAAATACGCCACCAGAATCAGAAGCCATATCACCATTCTGTGTGAAATAATCCATTCTCTTGACAAGATTTTTGACATGGTCCAACATCTGCATTTGTTATTTTCCTGGCAATATAACAACTAATTCTGTGTCAGAAATATCTGTAGACTTAAAAACACATTCATGTAATTTCTAGCTGCAGTTCCTCCCCAAATTCTGACAGAAGCTAAGTTGACAGGAGTGAAAGAATACAAAGGGGTGCTTAAACATAGCCTAGGATGTCCCAATCCTGGCTCCTCCCACTCCTCCCTCACACAACGTGCGGCCACCAATCGCTTAACTTCTAAGGATAGACTTTCCTTGATGCAACTGGAGTAATGTGCATAAATACATAAGATACAGCCTATAAAAACCCTGTTGCTCATCATCAGTAATAAGGACCATCGAGAGCTTCTTTTCTACTCCATCAGTTTGTTTCTTTCCTCGATAGAAAGATGCAGATTCTGTAGTCTATAGAACACATTACATGCTTATATGGTCACATCTAGAGTTTTAATAATTCCTCTTTTTAGATCAGTGTAGTTATAAGTATTCTCGTTTAGGACATCTCTACTTTTAGAGATAGGTGAAACTTTTCATTGGAAGAAAACTAAATCCTCCAGATTTATACCATTTCTATCCAAATCAATTAGATTTAAGCTTAAAGAATTTATTTTGAGTAATTTTAATTGCTGGGAGATTAGCTACCTGCTAATTAAGTCATTGGCAATAGTAAAATGATTTGCAACCTACTTCTTTACATGAACTAAATATCCCAATTCGATCCACTGAATGACACTGAACAATTCCTTAGTTTACTGACATTTAAGAAGACCCGGAGGACAGACTTCCTGTCATTTGAAGTAAATAATATATTAGAGTTTAAGGGGAAAAATCATATTTAAAGAAAAAAGTTCTTTTATATAAACTCTCAGAGCAGAGGTACAAGCAACCACACCGATTTATGGACTTGGAATGTTGGTGGAGCAGCAGAAGCTGGAACTGGAATGATGAGTCTGTGAGAATATCTGCTCACAATCTCAGCCTCGCCCACTTTGGGCTGGCTGCAGAGGTGTGATGAGGTAAATGTAGCCCGGCCTTTATCAGGGAATCTCAGCATTCCCACTAGTGTTGATCTGGTACATGTTAAAGAGAAATGAATGGTCTAATCCAGAAGATTGCGGACGGTTTTATCTCACACGCTGAGTCCCCGTGTCCTAAGCACACTGAAATTTTGCAAAATAAGATTTTCTTAAGCGTTTTAGCAAGTGAAAGACAGTATCAAGCATGAAAAAGGATTTGGGCCTTGAATTACAAAACTCAGATTACCAAACAGGGGAGAATTGAAAAGGTGGACCAAAGTTGATGTAAGCACAGTGGTAATGGAACTTGGGAACTTGGTTAGTGAAGGTGCAGGAACTGTATCAATCAGTACTGCAGACTTGAAACATGTTACCTAAACTCTATGAACTGTGTGCAAGGCAGATGACTTATTCCCATTATGTATCATGGTTTTGGTACCTTTCCAGGTGCATTTAAAGCTTATTTTATGTAGACTACATATGACTAGAATTTATTTATCTAAAATTTTTGTGAGGGATTTAGGCCAGGGCTGTTGGTGCTCAGGTACTCTGCATTCAGTGGTCATTCATGGTTGTGCTCAGGGGATCATATGTTGTGCTGAGTTTGAACCAGGATTGGCTGCTGCAAGGCAAATGCCTTAACTCCTGAACTATCTCTTCAGCTCCATGACCGGAACTTTCTCTCCAATACAGCAACTCCACGTCTTTTGAATTCAGACTTTTGATTTTAATAAAAATTCTGTCTTTTGGTTAAGAAACATATTTAGAGTAGGTGTTGATAGGTAAGAAACTATTGTTGCTATTTTGTTAATGTTTTTCTGATTGTTTTCTAGCTCCTTTGCTTCTTTTCTTTATTTTCTTTCTTTCTTTTCCTTTTCTTGGGTGGGAGGAGGCACACCCAGAAGTGCTTGCTCCTACCTTTGAGCTCAGGAATCACTCCCGACAGGCTTGGTGGACCAGATGTGGTGTCAGGGATTGAACCCAGGCCAGCCACTGCAAGGAAAATGCCCAAACCGCTGTACTGTTGCTCTGGCCCTGTTTCTTTACTTTTTATCTTTAGCCTCCTTCATGAATTTTTAAAAACTTTTTGTTTGTTTTCGGGTCACAATGGATGGTACTAAGGGAGTACTCCCAGCAGAGTGCTCAAAAGTTACTCCCAATGATGCTCAGGGAACTGTGTGATTCTGGGTATCAAACCTGGCCTTCCCCATGCAGAGCATACACTCCACTTCTTTGAGTTATCTCCCTAAAATTTCCTTTATGATTTAATAATTTTCTGTAATGACATATTCTGACGTTTTCTTTTTGTGAATCTCGTAGGGCGTTTGCCTTGCATGCGGCCGACCTGAGTTTGATTCCTCCACTCCTCTCGGAGAGTCCGACAAGCTACTGAGAGTATTCCAGCCACACAGCAAAGCCTGGCAAGCTACCTGTGACATACTCAACATGCCAAATACAGTAACAAGTCTCACAATGGAGATGTTACTGGTGCCTGTTTGAGAAAATCGATGAACAACGGGAGGACAGTGACAGTGACAGTGACTGTATACGTTTATTTTGTGGTTTTCACAAGGCTTATTTAAAATGTATTACAGGGGCTAGAGAGATGGTATACCAGGTAGGATGCTTGCCTTACATGTGGCCAATCCGGGTTCCATCCTCAGTATCCTATATGGTCCCTGAGTCTTCCAGGAATGATTCGTAAACACAGAATCAGGAGTAAGCCCTAAGCATTTTTAGCTATAGCCCCCCAACCAAAATGTAATATAGACATAAGAATATTTCGCACTAATAACAAATAACTTTGTTTTGTTTTGTTTGGAAGCCACACCTGGTATGCACACCTGGTTCTATGCTCAGGGATCACTTTTGGTGTTCAGGAGACCACAGGGAGATATAATGATTGAATTTAGGTTGACAACGTGCAAAACAAATACTCTGACCCACAAATAATTAAAGTTATATAGGTGACCCTTATACTATTTCTCTAGGCCCACAAATAACTTTAATCACATACAATAACTCTATCCTTTTAAACTTCCTCCTTTCATACATTTGATCCCATTCTCTATATTTTTATGAATATTAGAAAATTATAGTTATAATTATTTTATAATTATTTTAATTTTTTGTTCATCCTTTATAGTAAAGTGTTAAGACTAAACCATATTATAGTATTAGAGTTGATATATTATAGTATTAGGGCTGGAGTGATAGCACAGCGGTAGGGCGTTTGCCTTGCACGCAGCCAACATGGCCAACCCGAGTTCGATTCCTCCGCCCCTCTCGGAGAGCCCGGCAAGCTACCGAGAGTATCTCGCCCGTACGGCAGAGCCTGGCAAGCTCCCCGTGACGTATTTGATATGCCAAACACAGTAACAACAAAGTCTCCAATGGAGATGTTACTGGGCCCACTCGAGCAAATCGATGATCAACAGGAGGGAAAAAAAAAGTATTAGAGTATCCTCAGTGTAAATATATACTTACCTTTTGCTGTGTGTTGTATATATTTTTTTATTGTAATCCTTTGTTTCTGCTGGAATAACTACATTTACCATTCCCTGTAAGAAAAAACTAGTGGTGATGAATTTCCTTAATTTTTGTTTGTTAGAGCAAATCTTTACCTTACTTTCATTTCTGAAGTATGAATTTACCACAAAATAAGTATCTGGTTTCTTTAACATGTGGACCAGATCACATTTTCTTCTCCCAGTTTGCAAAGAAATTTACTGCTGGCATTATGGGGCCTCTTTTATGAGAATTATTTTAATTCTATGTAACTTTTAAAATTACTTTTGGCTTCAATTTTTTTTACCTTAATAATAAGTCTTAGGGAAGATCATTGTGAGTTGAAATTTTGGAGTGGCTTTAATTTCATAAATTTGAGTATCCAAATCAATTAACAGGTAAAGAAAATTTTCTGTCATTATATATTTAACTACCCGATAGCACAGCGGGTAGGGCATTCTCCTGCATGCGGACGACCCAGCTGACCCAAGTTTAATTCCTCCGCCCCTCTTGGAGAGCCTGGCAAGCTACCAAGAGTATCTCGCCCGCACAGCAAAGCCTAGCAAGCTCCCCATGGCATATTCGATATGCCAAACACAGTAACAAGTCTCACAATGGGGACGTTACTGGGACTGCTTGAGCAAATCGGTGAACAATGGGAGGACAGCGCTACAGTGCTATGTATTTAACTAGGCTTCTACTTCGTTGATTCTCTTTCCTCCAGTGACTTGTATGTCCTGTCTCATAATCCTCATTTCACTTGATTACTTGACTTCCCGTTAATCATCAATTTGCTGGAGTAGGCGCCAGTAATGTCTCCATTTGTTCCTGTCGCATGCTAGTGTAGCCCAATGGCATCTGCTAGGAACACAAAGAGCCTCAAACTGATTGTTCAGGATCTTGATGAAAAAGTCTGACCAACTGGTAGGTGGGCAGCCACGCAGTCTTTTGACGTCCCATTGAATCCAGTCCGTAACAGCTCTAGTCCAGTGGTCATCTCCAAATCTCATTACATGTCCAGCCCAGCTGATTTTTGACGCCTTGGCAAACGAGACAACATCCCTGATTCTTGACCATCGATGGAGGTCAGAACTCTGGATTCTTTCTCTCATTTGAGTGAAACATGATATTCCAAGCATAGCTCTTTCAATACCTCTTTGAGAGACCCGAATAACATTCTCATCCTGTTTGTGTAGGACCCAGGTCTCTGAGGCGTATGTTAATGCAGGAAGAACAGTGAAATCAAAGAGAGGTGCCCAGAGACGGAGGTTTTTCGTCCTCTTAGCTATTTCTTCAACACCTCAAGAAGGCATTACAAGCCACTCTCTTCCTCCTGCACAACTCAGGTGTCAAGTCATTCATCATGTTGACTTCTCGGCCTAGGTACACATAGCTGCTGCATTTGGAGATGGTTGTTCTGTTTAGAGCAAATGGAGCATCAGGAATGAGGCTGTTTCTCATAAACATTG